GTTATCCTGTGTTTCTGTCTGTCTTCTCCACACTATCTTTCTATCTAAATATTTCTTATCCCTCTCTCCTCAAGAGTACCCTGGAGAAAAGTGGGAGGCAGCCTTGCTGTGGGATGGTCTGTATGTCAAATGTGTTGCTGATTGGTCAATGAATAAATCACTGATTGGCAGTGGCCAGGCAGGAAGTATAGGCGGGACTAACAGAGAGGAAAATTGAGAGAACAGGAACCTGGGGGGGGGGGGGGGACACTGCCAGCCACCATCAGGACAAGGAAGATGCAAAGTACCGGTAAGTCACAAGTCACGTGGCAAGGTATAGATTAATAGAAATGGATTAATTTAAGCTGTAAGAACAGTTAACAAGAAGCCTGCCACGGCCATACAGTTTGAAACCAATATAAGTGTCTGTGTTTACTTGATCGGGTTTGAGCAGCTTGGGACTGGCGGGTGAGAGAGATTTGTCCTGACTGTGGGCCAGGCAGGAAAACTCTAGCTACAAATGGCGCCCAACGTGGTGGCAAGAGTTTCCACCTAAAACCTGAGAAAAAAGATTCTAAAACGGAGCTAAAAACAGCTTCCTAATTGTCTCTCTCAAATGAGCGGCAGCTGCCGGTTTGAGCTACTGGCGGGTTGCTGGCGTGCGCGCTCGACCTGCAGCATGGCGGGAATGAGGCCTCTGCAAGTGGCACATTAAGCTACATTGTGGGTTTAGCCTTTGCTAGTACAAAACAAAAAAAGAGGTTTCTGGGCTACACGCTGCTTGGATAAAAGCATAGACCCACGATAGCTCCCAGAGCTGGCGGTAAGCATACCGCCATGTTGGGAAGCTGAGGTGGGCGGAGCCAGCAGCCACAGCTGCTGCAGTTTAAAGCAATAGATTCACAATAAGACAGATTCAGATGTAATAGTTTAAAATGTGTGTAAAATATACGTAGGCTTGAAAGAGAAAAAAAGGTGATATATACAGTATAAAAACAAATACATGGTTTTAAAAAATAAAGTCTTTAAAGAGACAGTAAAATTAATATAAAAAATAAGCCACGTAGAGATGACTATTACACAGAGAGTCTGGATTGTGTTGTCTTTGGGATTCTTAACTACAGAGAGATGTTTAATTGTAAAGGAAGCTGAGTTAAACCAGTACGTATATTTTAAAGATACTTTGACTTCAAAATTTGGATGTAAGGATATGTTGCTTTGGAAAAGAGTCTCTTTTGTTTCCACAGAAAGCAAGAGGCTATGGATTTGTTCCAGAGTAAGATACATCAGGTTTGACCAGCCAAGACCCCCTGAAAGGTCTCCGATGACTCCATGGCCCAGATGATCCAACATCCAGAACCGTTTCAAGGCAACTGGCTCAGATGATACAGCCTCACGGACTACTCCATGATCCTAAAATTTTCTTTGTTTCCCCAGAAGATACAGCGCCCCCCTCCAGCAGGAAGTAGTAAGAGAAACTACGCCCAAATTCCCAAATATACCAAGCTGACTTTGGAGATATGTAAAGGTTAAAACCTTCCTTTTTAAGAAAAGAAAAGGGGAGGTGCTGTGGGATGGTCTGTATGTCAAATATGTTGCTGATTGGTCAATAAATAAATCACTAATTGGCCCGTGGCCAGGCAGGAAGTATAGGCGGGACTAACAGAGAGGAAAATTGAGAGAACAGGAACCTGGGGGGGGGGGGGGGGGGAGACACTGCCAGCCACCATCAGGACAAGGAAGATGCAAAGTACCGGTAAGCCACAAGTCACGTGGCAAGGTATAGATTAATAGAAATGGATTAATTTAAGCTGTAAGAACAGTTAACAAGAAGCCTGCCACGGCCATACAGTTTGAAACCAATATAAGTGTCTGTGTTTACTTGATCGGGTTTGAGCAGCTTGGGACTGGCGGGTGAGAGAGATTTGTCCTGACTGTGGGCCAGGCAGGAAAACTCTAGCTACACAGCCTCCCACAGGAGTCAATTCATGGCTTTAATATAATTTTCATAGGGCCCAGGGACTCTCAAAAAGTTAATGGGATACCAGCAAGTTTTCAAAGACTGTATTTAAATATCTCCTTTCAACAAACACAATTAACTAATGAATTAATAGTGTTGAAGAATAGATTTCAAATGGATGGTTCTATATTATAAGGGTTATAATATTGTTGAAGAAATCTACACACCAGCCAAGAACAAAGAAAACTCTAAACTAGGCTTCTACTTCCTCCTCCTACTCCTCCTCCCTCCTCTTCCTCCTCCCCCTTCCTTCCCCTTTCTAATACTGTTCATGTTTTCCTCCTTCCCCTACCCTTTCTGTCATCATCATCCTCTTTCTTTTCCTCTGTTTTTGTTTTTTCTTCCTCCTTTCCACTTGTCCTTCTTTCTCTTGATTTAATTGAGCATCTTTTAAGGCTTGTTTTTCTTCCTCCTGGTTTTACTTCATTTTTCTTCTGATTTTTTTCCAGTGGTTTCCCTAGAGTTTACAATTTACATTTGTACTATGTAAACCCATTTTCAAATAACGCTATATAACTTCACTGTAAATGCAGGTCCATTATGACAAAGCACCCTGAATTCCTCTCCATTTGTTCTGATTACATTGCTATTATTCATTTCATTTATTCACATCCTATCATCACCCAATAATGTTATGACTACTATTACTCTGAAGACTTGTCTATTAGAAAAATTAACAATAATAAAAATAATAGATTTCTATTTGATCTTCATCTGTTTCTTCTCTAATGTTCCTCCTTGACATGGATTTACATTTAATGGCTATTAGTCATTGTCCATCACTAAGACAAAATGCCTGTGATAAACAACAGGAATAAATACATAAATTCTCAATATTTCAACCCATGATCTGCTGGTTATTGCATTTTGGGGCCTCTAGCAATCCCACAGATCATGAAGGGAGTATATGGTAGCAGAAACTTTATTGTCAGGTTATGTTGTTTATGTCTCAAAATCATGAATTCTAATCTCTTTATTTATGAGAGCTAAAATCAGATGTTAAACATGGGCATCATGGGCTCCTTTTGTGCAGAAAGATTGAAAACATACTCTACTCAGCCTGCCCTAGAACATCCACCACTGCAAGATTTCTACTCTCTCTACTTCCTCTCTTAAGTGTCACTTGATCTCAAATAGGCCCTGGGCTCCTGCTATTGCAGAATGGCAAACACAATCATTTAGGCAATTGCATTAGCCGGGAGGTAATTCACTCCACAGGGTTAGTGTTTCTATTTCTAACCATTAGGCAGAGCTGCATAGGGAAAATAATGAGGAGGGCCAAATGTACACTAGTGCCTTTCAATTCTGCTTTCAGTGTTACCTTCCACATGTTTGCTGACTCCATAACAACATGTCGTGTTTTCTCTTTTTTAAACTATGTATGTATTATTTTTATTATATGTGCTTGTTTTGCCTGCATATGTGCATTGCATACATGCCTTCTGCCTAGGAGGGCCAGAAGAGGGCACCAGAACCTCTGGAATCAGATGGTTGTAACTCACCATGTTGGTAATGGGAACTGAACTCAGTCAGGGTCCTCTGCAAGAATAGCAAATATTCTGACCACTGAGAAATTTTTTGAGCCCCCAACATACCTTCTCTTTAAATCCCAAATGGGTCACCAGGCCAAACAATAGTTGGGCTTCAACACCCATCAGAATAGTTTTTCTAAATTTTCCTGAGATCAAATTCCTCTAATAGAGACAATTAGAGAACATCAAAGAAGTTTGAAACTGCAAGTACACAAAAAGGAGTATTTCAGAAAGCTTAAGACTAGGAAATTGGGTGTCAAAATCACTGTAATGTTGCCAGCTGCATGAAACCCAAACACTGTCAATAGAATGTACGAGTTCAGATAGGTTGGAAAGATACTGATAAATGCAGAATTCATACAAGTATTAACCAAGAACTAGTTATCCAGAATGGTTGTCATAAGAATTCAAAGAAGGAAACAATTGCTTCAGTCTGAGGGGAATTGGCTTAGTAGTATTAGATAAGTTTCCAGCCACCTCTTAAGCTTTGCTGGGAACTTCTAGAAGAATATCAGGAATCTAAGAGAATTCCAAGGAGTAAGTTGAGAGCTAAGGCAGACTTTATTATTCTTGATGTTCTTAGAAAATCTCAGACAAACCGGATATGTCAGCTCCATAATTGAGTCTGGGTCTATAGACAACAGAAGAGTCTGGTGTGTGATGGAAACATCCATTCCATTCAGGACCAGCCATGGTGACAAGGGCAAGACATTTTGTTCCCAGATGACTGGCTAGCCTTATAACTTATTACAGATTTCCTGAGCCTGGTGGTTTATCTACACTGTGCCCAAGCTCAAGGTGCTCATGGTTCTTATAAACTCATTTTCCTTTGTGCGCTAAGAAAATTGACTATGAGAATGATTTGGCCGAATCTGTTATAGAAATCATAAGCTATTTAACCATTGAAGAAATGTCACTAGAGTGAAATCTTTGCTGAGGCCCAAAGCTCTTGCTTTAGGGCTCAATTTATTAAAAATTAAATGACCATAAATTTTTATTGCTATCATTATAAGTCACAGCACCATCTCATGGTTATGTTTGAGTCTTTAAAAATATATGATTAATTCTGGATCTCTCATTCAGACTTTTGTTATCCTTATCCCTGTTTTAGCTGAGATTTATACTGCTGACAGAAGAGGGGAGCATTACTTTGGTGTCTTTAAGATAAAAACCACTTTCTTGCCAGGCAGTAGTGGCGCACGCCTTTAATCCCAGCACTCAGGAGACAGAACCAGGCAGATCTCTGTGAGTTTGAGGCCAGTCTAGTCTACAGAGTGAGATCCAGGACAGGTACCAAAACTACACAGAGAAACCCTATCACAAAAAAAAAACCAAAAAACAAAACAAAAAAAAACCACTTTCTCTAAGGAATTCTCTGATTTTTTTTATTCCTATAGTACATTGCATAGGTTCCTAGTAATAAAAACAACTTTTCTGTAACCAAGTTGTAGGAATATGAGCCAAGTTGCCAGGAGAGATTTACCTATTATCCTTGCTCCTCCAGGTCAATCACTGTGTCCAGAAAAAGCAGAAGCCGTACCTGTTGGTTGCATATCATGGAATTGTTTAGTTAAGTTTCAGAAGTATTTAATCTCATGTCTCATCCCATATGTAGCTGAAGGGCTGTGAGGAACAGCCAAACCCAACCTCTGGAGTCTCATGGAATCAACAAGAGCTAGGGGCTTTGTTCCCATACAGGACATACATGCTTACTCAATGGTTCTCTTTCTAAACCTTCATAGAAAGTATCTTTAAATTAGATAAGGAAGGAAAGTTGCTGTATTAAACTTCTCATATAAAATAACTTCTATGGAACAGATCTTGTAACATTGTGATCACTAGTTAATTCTGCCTGCCCCCACAGCATCTTTTCTTCTGGATTGAAATGTGATAGCTCACATGGGCAAGATCCTTACTGGATATAATTTTTCTTGCATTAGTTATAATCTTTTTTTAATTTTAGACAAAAAAAGGGGAAATGTGGTGGTATTGTGTTCCCCGAAATATTGTGCACCCTAATAAACTTATCTGGGGTCAGAGACAGAACAGCCACAATATTAAAAATAGAGGATAGGCAGTGGTAGCACACGCCTTTAATACCAGCACTTGGGAGGCAGAGCTAGGCAAAAAATCCATGTGTTAAAGGATACAGCCAAGCATGGTGACTCACGCCTTTAATCCCAGAAAGCGAGCCTTTAATCCCAGGGAGTGATGGTAGAAGGCAGAAAGATATATAAGGGTGAGGACAAGGAATTGGAAGTATTTGGCCTGGTTAAGCATTTGGCCTGGTTAAGCATTCAGGCTTTTGAGCAGCAGTTCAGCTGAGACCCATTCTGGATGAGGACTCAGAGGCCTCCAGTCTGAGGAAACAAGACCAGCTGAGGATTCTGGCGAGGTGAGGTAGCTGTGGCTTGTTCTGGTTCTCTGATCTTCCAGTTCACCCCAATACCTGGCTCAGGTTTGTTTTATTAATAAGACTTTTTAAGATTCCTGCTACATCTTCAAATGAGTAACACTATTGGTTTAATTTTAATTAAATATGAACACTCATTATTGGTTTAATATTTTTGTTATAATGCTTCAGAGTCTTTAAAACAATTTGAATAAACTACCCTGAGATATTTGAAACAGTGAGGGATCAATGCAAAGCAATATTTAATTTAAAAGTTTAAAACAACATCCTCCTAGAGAGACAGATTTCGGGAGCATGCATCATTTCACACATGGTGACTATTCTTAGGTACTGTGTGTCTGTCCTTTCTAGGAGCTTTAATTTTTACATTAGACTTCATTGAATGAGATACATGAGGTTTCCTATTCACACAAATGCATATAATTTCCCATCAGGAAATAAAATCCCACTAACCTCACTGACACTGTTGGTTTTTTTAACTTTCAGCTCTTTATCTCCTTAAAACTGAGGGCTTTCCTGGTCCCTTGTCAATGGTTTTTGCCTTAATCAACACAAGCACAAGTTGGTTTATGATGGTCCAGTCCAGGCAGCAGGCAAGTAGTGTCTTCCAAACCTCACCTACAGGCTCCTGAAACAGAAAAGAAGAGGTGTGGATATCCTGTGGACTAAGAGGGAAAGTGGTGTTATAGGAGGAACCGGAGATCAGCCAATTATGGAGAATTTAGGTAAAATCAAATGTTTTTAAAGCAAGTTGAATTTCTATGCCAAAAACCAACTACTGTGTTAAGAATTAGATGTAAAAGCTCACAGGCTTTCAAATGACAGGAATGAGCATAAATGACATTGGCTTCCTACAAGACAAGAGAGTCTGTGCTTGCTAAACCCAAGATCTAAAACATGCACACACTACCAAAAATGTTTCACATAAAATATAATCCAGTAAACATGAAATCACCATAGACTTGTCCTTGTAGGACTTTATGATGTTATTGGCTGTTTATTCATTCAGTTACTTAGAAACAACAGGCTTAATCCAGTTTACAATGTAGTTTTGGCTGGTCAGAACATTTTAATTTTAAAATTATGCTTACCTATGAAAGAGTGGACCATGGCCATGTGAATTTGTTGAAAAGTGTCCATTATAACTCCTCACTTGCTGAACAATCAGGTTTTAAAGACTGACTTTTCTAACCAACCTCTCAGGTTCCCAGTAGCAAGGATTCCATTAACAGGGCTTTCTTGTGGAGTAATTACATTCATTCATTCTTTCTTTCTTTCTTTCTTTCTTTCTTTCTTTCTTTCTTTCTTTCTTTCTTTCTTTCTTACCATATTCTTTTTCTCTTGGTATTTGATTTGGTGGTATTGGTGCAGTTAAATAGTCTTCAGGATATGGAAAAACTGTCATTTTATGATGGCCAGCTGTGTTTTAGTTTTTTATAAGGCATGCCTAGGTGTATTACACTAGTACCTTTTTTTAAAAAAGACTTTGAAAGTCTTCCCTGTGATATAAGTTCAAGTGACAGTCCAATGAAGCTACACTTCCAACTAAAAAGTGTGAGGAAAAGCAATCCATCACCTATGGAGTCTATCAGTGTGGATGACTAAGAAAACTCCTTCCCTTTCCAAGGAGAACCTTCCCTAAATGCACTGCTCTCCACTCCACACCTGTTCAATACTTATGCTTACCAATAACTGACAGATCATCCCCAAGCATAGAAGATCTTTACAAATCTTTATTTAAATTGGTACTTAATATGTATTCCAACAGACTATATTTCTGATCTCTGTGGTAAATTTTGAAGAATTGAGTGATAAGGTTACTTTCCAAGAGACACACGCTGAAAAGTTGGATGACCTGTGAATTCCATGTAATTCAAGCCTTGGGCTCCTGGACTGAAAGCTTATACAGTAAAAGGGCATCCTTCATAAAGGGTAGATGCAGAGCAAGGGGTGTGGCTTAGTTAGTAGTGTCCTTACTAGCACAGGTGAAGCCTTGAGTTCCAATCCCAGCACTGCATAAACACAGGTGGTGGTGTGCAGGCCTATAATCCAGACATTGGGGAGTTAGAGGCAAGAGAATCAGAAGTTCAAGGCCATCCTCAGCAACATAGCAAGATTGAGGCTAGCCTTGGATACGTGTATATGCTTGGCCATATAATAAGCACAGAAATTTAATATTATATAATACAGATTTTTTTATGTAAGAGCCAAGGACAGAAAGAAGTTAGGAGGAAATATGGCTGGAAATTTTTCCATCTTTACTGAGATATAATTGACAGCTTAAAATATTCAAACTTTTTAAAGTAGCAACATTGTGAAATAATTACCACAATCAAATAATTAACATGCATTCCTACATATAATTACCTGTTTGTGTTTGTACATGCATGGCAAGGATATATAAGATATGATCTCTTGGCAAATTCCTAATAAATAAAACAGAATTGTTTTAATTGTATATTAACTGTATCCTATCTTTATGTATCACCAAAGGGAAGAATGTCCTTCTTTGTCAGGCTTCTCTTCACACTATCTCAGAAAAGACCACCGAATAATAGAACTAGATGTCCCAGCGTTATCATCCAGCATAAGCATCTATGGATGAAGCAACAGTCCTGGAGATAGTCTCTGCAACCACAGGGCACCTTGGCAAACGACCAAGCAAATTTTAAAGGAGCTTGAGAGAGCCCTGTGGGCTTTAGCTCTGATGCATGGAAATCTGAGCATAAGCTGAGGGGTAAATGACAGCAGAGTTTCTACCTCAAAGATAATTGACTGATACAATTTTTGTGTCTCTTTTGTCAAGACTGTTAAGGAAAGGAGAAAATGACAAGGTGGAAATGAAGTTGACAATGGTCAGGAAATGGGAAAAATCTCTGAATTACAATTGTTTACTTCCTGTCTTTTTTCTATACCAAAAAGAAAAGTAAGATTTTATAGAACAGGCCCTTACTGCACAAACAATATTTGGAAGAAAACAATATTTTGACACATACATACATATACACTTCCATAAAGAACTAGAAAAGAGGTGTGAAAAGAAAGGTCTGGAGGGCACAACCTCAGCCTTCAGGAGAATTGCTTTTCTTTTTCATCATAGAATAACACACACACACACACACACACACACACACACACACACACACACACACACTGCCAACTTATCCTAAACTGAATATCTCAAATACAGGAAACAAGAGGGAAATCAACTCCTCATGGGAAGCTTGGTTTGCAGAATTCAACCACAAAGGCTACACCAACAGCTCTTGGTATGTAAATAGTTGTGGACTGTCTGACACTGACTTCAGTAGTCAGGCATGTGCAAGTCTTGCCTCCCTTGATAAGTGCTAGGTCTGTGCCTAGTACACGTAGACCTCCTGGAATATAGACTGCTGGAATATTCTTTGGGGAATGTCTTAAGAACAGATAAATGGGAGATATGGAGCTATGGTTTCCAAGAGCTACTTCAACTTCCTTGGAAAAGTATTTAGAAACGTGCTAGAACTAGGTTGAAAATGTATGTAATCAGGAAATAAATTATTGCAGAAATGGAAATTTTTAAGAGTGATGGGGGAATTAGACTGACAGTTCTCCGTGGCTATGCACACTGATATCACCATCCATGTAGTCCTTGAGCTTTCCTGTGTCTTGACATGTATCCTTATGTGTCTTGTCTTTTGGGAATAGATTCCTTGTAGTCAGTTTCCTGATCCTGCGAACCCGTGGTTCTGCAGCCGCTCAGACCCATATTATATTATTTTTAACTATGGCCACGGCAGGCTCCTTGCTAGCTAGCTCTTATATCTTAAATTAATCCACTTCTATAAATCTATGCTTAGTCATGTGGCTCCTGGCTTACCAGTAGTTTACATTATGCTTCTGCTGGCGGCTGGCAGTGTCTCCTCTGTTCTGCTTTTCTCATTCCTCCTTGGAATGTCCCGCCTAAACTTATTCTGCCTTACCATTAGCCAAACAGCTTTATTTATCAACCAATCAGAGCAACACATATTTACAGCATACAGAACAACATCCTCATCATTTTCCAAACAGTTATTAAGCAAGAATTATAGTTATAATATTGTCTATTTGTATTTGGCAAAATTAAAGAAGAGTTCCTCATCCATAGTAAAGTTGATTCTCTTTTCTCTGATGATTTACATGCCTCTCAAATTCTATAAAATTCACATCTCACATCCAATATTTAGAAATTCTTTTAAAAAAATGCTTATCCTGTCTTGATAAAACTCAGCACCATCTTAGATTCTAGATCTGCTTTTATTGACCAGTAGCATTTGATCATATGAATTACTTATTCATAATCTTTACCAATTTTATTCTTTTACTTGTTACTTTTTAATTAATAGTCCTAGTATTAACTGTTTTGGAAACATTGTGATAAGCTAAGTGTGAAAACAGACTTCAAGGAAGCAGTAGTTTCCAGACTCAAGAGGACTGGTGTCCATATGGATTCACAGACTGTGACAGCATGCACAAGACCTGTTCAGACTCAAGTCAGACAAAATTCCAGCACCAGGATCAGGAAGAGAACATACAGTCTTGCCCACAGATAAAAAGCTATTTACAATTGATAGCTACTGGGAGAGGGAAAATCAGTTTTGGTCACTGGGTATATCAAACACACTTCAGAACATGCCCCATGTTTAGGAGGAGTTGGCTAACACAAAACTGACTCCATTGCGTGTGTGTGTGTGTGTGTGTGTGTGTGTGTGTGTGTGTGTGTGTGTGTCTGCCTTTGGTTTTTGTTTTCTTGGTTGGTTTGGTTTTATGTTTTTCAAGAAAGAAAAAGAACATAAAATTGGATGGGTAGGGAGGTTGGAATGATCTGGGAGGAGTGGGGGAGGGGAAAGAATATGATTAAAATATAGTGTTCAAAATTCAAAAATTAATAGACACATTGAAAGTAGTATATATGTTTATTTTATGGGTTTTAGTGCATAAATCCTTCATAGTTACAGAGTCCAGTGCACCTGAAATTTTTTCTCTTTCATTTTTTTTCCTGCTCTGCATGGTTGCTAGGAACTGAGCTCAGGTCCTCTGGAAACATAGCAGGTGCTCTTAACCACTGAGACATCTCTCCAGCCCTCTGAGTAGCAGTTTATTAAGAAGAAAATTTAACACATTTCTAGAAAAATATTAACAGAAAGAGAGGTGCTCAAGAGAAGAAAAAGTTTCAGATTTCTTAATAAGGTATAGATTTAATAAGGTGTATATTTCTTAAAGGAGAGTCACAGTTAAGCATCTATGTTGTGACTGTGCATAGGAAGCTTTGGGAATGTCATTGTTCAGAGGTCTTTAAAGCGACCAACCTTCTTCTCTTCTCTATTCCTCTATTCAATAATCAAGAATGTAGGGTGGCTTCTTCACGGAATTACAACCTGATATGATAAAACCAGGAGCCAGTAAGTTGCAAAGTGGGTTGGGTCATGTCCTTTTTCTTTGATGGGCTTCTGGTAAGGTACTAGACAATTGAATATTTGGAGTTGGAAGGAGAAAAAGGCTTAAGCAAGTGTTGTTAACTGTGTTGGAACTCTTGACTCAGCCAATGAGAATCCTCATCCAGACTCTGGGGTGGAGGACTCCTCTCCCTTCCCATGTCTCCATAACTTT